GGATTTTCGGCGATGTGCCATTGGCTTATCTGCGTGTTCATCGTTGCGGAACTGACGTCGATCTACGTGCTGTATCACACTCTAGACATGTATATGATCGAACGCAACTTGCCGTTCGAGTTTGACATTGATGAAGATCAAGAGTTGGTCTCGCCGAAAGACGTGTTTTGCCCGGACCATTCGTTGGACGTCGTTCCGACCTCGTCAGAATCGAATCGAAGCCCGGAAGATCCGTTGACCGTCGTTACGGCATTCATAGACATAGGCTCGTTTCAGAAGAACGGCTACGTACGACCGCTTTCGCAGTACCGTTCATGGTTCAGACTGTGGAGAAACGTGCACAACCCGGTCGTACTGTTTTACAACAAAGCGTGGATTTGCAGGACATTTCGTGCCATTCGGGGCAACCTGACCACCAGGTACATTCGTGTCGATCTTTCTCGCGAAGGTGCTTTCTGGAGTTCTAAGCTGAGAGTGGAAACGACGAAAATCTTCAGCGACAACAACTACCCGAAACATTATCCGTCAACGACGAACGTCGACTATGTGGTGGTGATGCACGCGAAATACGACTTCGTCGAGTACGCGCTGCAGAGAAACTTTTTTCGCTCAAGCCACTTCGCTTGGATAGACATCGGTTTGTTCAGGGATTACGACCTGACGCAATGCTTTCGACTGCAACTGCCTCCGCATTTCGACGAAACCAAAGTGGCGTTCGGCAAGGTGCAGGATTTTCGGTCGAACCAGACCGCCGAGCAGATCATCCGGTCGATGCCCGTGTGGCTCTGCGGGTGCATATTCGTCGGCAGCTGGTCGGTTCTGCAACGGTTTGTCGTCCAATACCGCGACACCGTGAACGCAATCTTGCGTCGGAAGCTGGTCGGCGACGACCAGATGACCCTCTATTCCATGTTTGCTGACAAAACCTTGAACATCAGTATTACGGTTCCTATTCAGTGGTACGAAACAAATTATGAACTTATCAACTGCGACCGGTGGTTTTGTCTGGCTTATGTGATGAGGGTGCTTGAGAAGTGCATATGAAGCAAACAGGGTGCAGTGATCGTTCCTGAAAGACTATGATCTAACAACTCATTGTCATTGTAGTGAAGAAACCTTGTTGCTCGATGTCGAAGGAATCCGAGACGATCGATGATACACTACTGCCTTTCAGAGTCTATGATGCTTAGGGATATTTTTTCGTCAAT